CCTCCAGGGGATCTTCCTGACCCAGGGATCGAACCTGCGTCTCCTGCATTGCAGGCAGATCCTTTACCCTCTGAGCCACCAGGGAAGCCCCCAGATGTGGTGCTCAGATGATTTAGAGTGACTGGCTCCGGATGCTGTGCTGGTCATCACAGCAAGTGTGGGAGGAGGCCGTGTGTAGGCAGAGGGCCCCGGGCCGACCTGCCTCTCAGAGGCTGAGCTGAGACTGTTACCAAGCTCACACTGTGCTCTTTTTACTGCAGCTGAGCATTTCTTTAACACGTACAACCTTTGCTCTTTTTTTTTAAAGCAAGTGGTACTTCTTTCCATTGAAATCCGTTTCCCCAGTGCCTCCTCTCCCCTCCCACAGAGTAAGGGTCCATTGCGACACAATTACACATGGTGTGTTCACTGTTATTACATGTGTGTGGACACACGGCTACTCAGTGGGAGACATTTCTCCAGGCTTCCTTTGCCTTGTTGTGATCACAGGGCCACATCGAGGCCAGTAGGTTGGGAGAAGTGATTCCTATGACTTTCACATTGTGTCATTAAATAAAAGGCTACCTGTTTCCCCCTCTCCTTTTTTCTGTTAGCTGGAATAAAAATGTGATGGAGGGAGCTACAGCAGCCCCCTTGCATCATGAGGACAGACTGACGGTAAGGACAACAGCGCCCTCTGCTGGTGGTCTGGAAGGTCCACCTGGACTCTTAACACAAGAAATAAACGAAGGACCAGAGGGCTTCCCTGGGGGCTCAGTGGTAGAGAATCTTCCTGCCAATGCAGGAGACGTGGGTTCGATCCCTGATCTGGGAAGGTTGCACATGCCGCAGAGCAACTCAACCCTTCTGCCACAGCTACTGAGCCTGTGCCTTGGAGCCTGCGCTCCATAAGAAGTGAAGCCCCTGCAGTGAGAAGCCCCTACTCACCACAACTAGAGAAAATCCCGCACAGCAATGAAGACCCAGCTACAAACAGAACTATTTAAAAGGCAAGGGATTAGAAAAGACACAGCTCTTACTGCTAGCTAGCTCTATTATGGATTTACCTAAAATCATCAGGAAAATGATGGTATTAGCAAATGCAACTCTAGGAAGAATGTGAGAAAGCAATCTGGCAATTCTCGGTGAGTTGCAAAATCATAACAGGAGAATATAAGCCCCAGCTACCCGGTCTGAGCGCTGGTTCTGCAGCCTCCCCGCGTGGAAAGTCCCCGAGCTTGAGGCTCCCTCGGGGCAGCAGGCACCACGCGGGAGGAGGTGCTGCGGTTCCGTTAGTCCGACCGTACACGTGAGGCCCTGACTCTCCCTGCACTTGCGAGGGAGAATGCGGGCTGCTGATCAGACAGCAGGGGTCTCTGCAGCCTCCAGCCAGGGATCCCCTGTCGGTGCAAACAGGTGGGCGAATGGGGCCCCGCCTCCCCTGGCACCGTCAGAGCTGCTTCTGTGGCCGTAGCCGCCGCCCACCACCCAGAGGTCCCCGAGAGAAGAGGGTGCCCTCTGCATCCAGCACAGAAGTGGCCCAGGTTTGGGGGAATCCCCCCTATGGAGCTGGAGGGTGGGGCTGGGGAAGCAGGACCACCCCTTCCCCCAGGGCAGGATGGAGGAGGGCAGGTGACCAGCGGAGGCTTCCGGAGGAGGCCCGTCTGCAGGGGGTGCCTCAGCGCAGGCCAGCGGGCAGGGGTGTCCAGCCAGGACCACAGCACCGTCGTTGTCCGCATCTAGTGGGGAGCACAGCTGAAAACTGAAGCCCGCAGTGGGAATGACTGCCCAGGATGCACCTTACCAGGGAGGAGGGACCACCCGGAAACGAGTGCTCACATTTGAAATCAACTCAGTTATGAAGAGCCGCTCTGCCTCCAGAAACCTAGTCGTGATGGACTAGTTGGACTTGTGACCCCCAGATTAACACACTGGGGTCCTGACCCCGCTTCCTCAGAACGTGACTATGTGCTAAGTCGCTTCAGTCGTGTCTGACTCTTTGCGACCCCATGGACTGTAGCCCGCCAGGCTCCTCTGTCCATGGGATTCCCAGGCAAGAATACTGGGGTGGGTTGCCATGCCCTTCTCCAGGGGATCTTCCTGACTCAGGGATGGAACCTGCATCTCTTATGTCTCCTGCATTTTCAGGCAGGTTCTTTACCACTAACGCCACCTGGGAAGCCCAGATTTGGAGAGAGGAGCTTCACGAGCTGATTAAGTTAAAAACAACACCGCTCAGGTCACCCTAATGTGGCTTATGCGGCCTTATGTGACTGGTGTCCCTATAAGAAGAGATTAGGACACACACACCGCCCCCCAGAAGCATGGCCAGCGAGGACACAGGAGTGAGACGGCTGTCTGCAAGCCAGCGAGAGGCCTCAGGAAGAGCCAGCTCCGCAGCGCCAGAGCCTCGGACACGAGAAGTCAATTTCTGCTGGCCAAGCGGCCTGGTCTGGGATATTTTGCTTCAGCAGGCCTCCCAACGAGACACACCAGTAGACTGTGCCCGCGCACACACGCTGTGTTGTTTAGACCAGACTCTGTCCTGATACCTCGCAGGATGCCCAGGACTGGCACACTGGCGGAAATCTTGCAAAGATTTTAAAATATTGTACTTTCCCGGCCTCATTTGAGAGCTAGCCTCTCGTCATCAGAAGAAAATCAGGGTACAATTTGGAAGATAATGCTTCAGTGCCTGCATTTTCACCTTTGCTGACATATCATATATACATATACATACCTATATATATATGTAAATCTCAATTATTCAGAAGTAATTGCTCAAGACCATCTCACTTACTTTGTAGCAAAAACCAAGAAAAATTATCTTCTGGTCAGTGTATATTAAAAACACATACATATGCCTATGCAAGAAACTATGCATGTTCATGTGATTAATTTATTACTAACAGCCTGACAGGCACGAACTCACTGTGCCTCCAAGTACAGGCAGCTGATCCCCAAACACAGTGGAACAGTGTTTGCAGAGATTCAGAGGAGAGGCGAAAAGATCTGACTGTGAGCGAAGACACGAGAAACAGGAGAAAAGACCCAGGTGCCATAAAGACCAGTCTGGGGTCCTTTAATGTAGAGCAGAGACATGGGAGTCCCAGGTCGACCGGGAGTATCTGCCTCTGAGCACCAAATGGTTGTTGATACACCTGTTCTGATGCCCAAGGCAGCAAGAAAAAGGATCCCATTTGTTTAATGAAACAAAGTACATAGCAAGTTTGCAAAACGTCTTTATTCTTTATGGCTGAAATCTGAGAAGAGTTATTGCATAAAGAGGCAGGCTTCACCCCTCTGGGGCCAGGTGCAGAGGGGCTGTGCGAAGCTTCTGTGCGGGTTTAGAAACACACTTCCCCAGATCTCATCAGGGCTCTGGTCAAACTGAAAGAAGCATCTGAGTGACACCTCCTCTGCTTTGATTTCTAGAGTCACATGCTAACAGATTTGAAAGACATGGGACTGCTGAACACCTAGGTCTCCCGTCAGAACCCTGAGACTTGAAGACAATTCCTACTTCACCCACAGAACAGTTTTATTTTGCAAAGTGAAAACTATGTTTTAAAAATACAGACTTTGGATCTTAAGAAATCCCATTGAATTGCATATAGAGACACAGCTGAGGCTTGCAAGAACTGGAGAAAGTTGCAAATAACATGCTGGTCAACATTACCCATGTCAGTATCTTTGCAGTTCATGTCAGGACCTTTCTAAGACACATTTGTTGGGGGTGGGGCAGGGAGGTTGTTTATTTTTGGCCATGCAGCTTGGGGAATCTTGGTTCCCCTATCAGGGATCAAACCAAGTTTCTCAGCAGTGAAAATAGCGCTAACCACTGGACCACCAGAGATTCCCGCATTTGTGTTTCCATAAGATGTGTTGATACTTTCCCACTTTGTTGGTGGTGGTGATGTTCAGCCACTAAGTCATGTCTGACTCTTTGTGACCCCATGGACTGCAGCATGCCAGGCCTCCCTGTCCATCACCAACTCCTGGAGATTGCTCAAACTCATGCCCATCAAGTCGGTGATGCCATCCAATCATCTCATCCTCTGTCATCCCCTTCTCCTCCTGCCTTCAGTCTTTCCCAGCACCACGGTCTTTTCCAATGAGTCGGCTCTTTGCATCAGGTGGCCAAAATACTAAAACACTTTCAAAATTTGAGTCCTATGAGCTTTCTATGAAATCAAAGAGAGTTGTTAAAATCTGATTTTGCAGTTAACTTCAGACTTCAGGTAACACTTTACAGCAGCAGAAACCTACATGCCCCTAGCTCTCTGCCAGCTAATTTGAAGCTCGTCACGACCAGACTCCACACGTCTCTCTCTAACACCGCAATGGAAAGGAACAAAACCCCTTTCATTATTGTCTCAGTAGTTTCCTGGTTGTTTTCTTTTTAAGTATTCTAAACAATTTAATTTTTTAAAACTAAATTTTTAAAAAATTTAAACAACTAACTCAAACTGGAGTTTGCCTGGTAGCTCATTTGGTAAAGAATCTGCCTGCAATGCAGGAGACCCCAGTTCGATTCCTGGGTCGGGAAGATCCCCTGGAGAAGGGAAAGGCTACCCACTCCAGTATTCTGGCCTGGAGAATTCCATGGACTGCATAGTCCATGGGGTCACAAAGAGTCGGACAGGACTGAGTGACTTTCACTCTTACCTGTACTAGAAGCCCCAATTTTATTATGTTTTGTTAAATAAGTATTTATTAAGCACCTTCATCTAACTGATTTTTAGAGAATTGCCATCGTGGAGAGAAATACAGCACACTGTACTTCCTGACGTCCCGTGACGACCACAGCTGCCTGACCCCTGGGGCCCGGCATCACCAGCACTTATGCAGCCACCTCTTTGGTCTCTGAGCTTGTTTTTCCTTCTGCCCTTTTACAATCTCATGCAACTTGAGTGCGTCACAAGGAAATGAGAAAAAGCTCAAGCCAGCCCGTTTTGCTGCTCTGATGACCAACAGTATCCATGGGGATGGAAAAATGTTTAACCTTTTGCCTAAATGAGTTATGTGAGGGCTTTTGATGGTTGTTCCTGTTTTGTTTTGTTTTGAAGTCGTGGGATGTTTTGCAATGACCAGAAATTGCGGCTGAAGGCTTCTTTGTGAACATTCCTGAAAGTGTTCCCGCTTGTAAGCAGTTCACTTTCATGCAGCTCTTCCCAAAGCCTGCTTTGTGGAATGCCAGCCATCAGGGACAGGGGTGCAGGGCATCCCCAGTCAGGTGAGCTGGGGGTGCTCCCTGTGGGAACCCCCCGGCACCCAGAGCACCGGCGGCCCTGATCCTGCAGGAACGACCCCACTCGCTTTTGCTTCATTTCCACGGGCCCCGTGCATTTCCATCCTGTCGGCGCTGAGCCTGGGGGCCTCACATGGTGAAGGAGGATGGGTTGTCGTTGTCCACCGTCTCGCTGTTCTGCCGGGAGGTGAAGGTGTCCGAGTGCAGCCGGGAGCAGGAGAAGCCCGGCGCCTTCTGCTTCCGCCTCACGCACCACAGGTCCTTCATGATCTTCAGAAAGTAGCTGCGAAACTTCTGGCCGATGAAGGCGTAGAGCACGGGGTTGAGGCAGCAGTGCAGGAAGGCCAGCACCTCGGTGACGTTCTTGGCGTAGCCCAGAAGCCTCTCGCCGCTGCACGAGCGGTCCGTCCGGCCCAGGTTGACGGCGGTCACCAGGAGCACCATGTTGTGCGGGATCTGGCAGGCCAGAAACACGAGGACCACCGCGATGATGACGCGGATGGCCCTGTGCCTTTTCGAGTTCTGCGCCTGGACTAAGGTCTGCACGATGAACGCGTAGCAGAAGATCATGAACACCAGCGGGACGAAGAAGCCGAAGAGGAGCTGCAGCCCCAGCATCAGCAGCTTCCAGCGGATGGGCTCGGACACGGCGTGGTACCGCGGCTCGCACACGTCGCCGCCCTGCAGCCTGTACTTCTGGTTGAACGTGAAGGTCGAGCTGGAGATGAGGACGGACACCACCCACACCGCCAAGCAGATCAGCTTGTGGTGCGCCAAGGCTCTGGAGCGGAGCCGGAAGGACTTGGTGGCCTGCACGATGGCGACGTAGCGGTCCAGGCTGACGCAGGCCAGCAGCAGCATGCCGCAGTTGAAGTTGACGGCGTAGATGCCCCGGGTCAGTTTGCACATGGTGTTGCTGAAAATCCACTCACCGGTGGCGTGGGTGACAGCCCAGAAGGGGAGGGTGAGGACAAAGAGTATGTCCGCCACGGCCATGTTCAAGAGATAAACATCCGTCATAGATTTGGCTTTCTTGTAAAAGGCAAAGGTGACAACCACCAGAATATTGCCCAGGAGGCCACAGACGCATATCAAGGAGTAAGCTACCGGCACGAAGAGCCCGGAGAAACTTCTGACCTCCTGCAGGGAGCACAGAAAGCTGTCATCATCCAGTAAGTAATCTGAACTGTTAGCTAATCCAAAGTAGTCCTCATTTGAATCGTAGATGTTGGTGGAATTCATTGGTTCCTAGAAAGTGAACAAAGACTGGGTCAGCTGCAGTGTAATTTTCTAGGAGTCAAATTGACAGATATTATCCTCCCAGCCAAAATAACAAGGATGCTCACCCCTCTCATCCTGGTGCTCGATCTGGGCAGAAAGGCCAGGCCTGGAACAGAAGGCAGCAGACTTTTCACCTCCTTTGGCTCACAGTGGAGAGAACAGGAGAGACGTGAATCTAAGGAGGAAGGAAAGCAGAATGCAGTACAGTTGCATATTTCGGAGAGCCAAAGGGTTAAGGAAATAGAATTCTTCCCATTTCAACACAAGAGTGCACAGCGTGCTATTTTATACAGAAATACTCATTTAGAACTGGTGTCAGTAGCCGCTTTCCATGGAGGGCCAGACAGTAAATATTCTAGAATCTGTAAGTCATGTAGTCTCTGACATCACTACTCAGGTCTGCTGGTGAAGGCTGAAAGCAACTTCAGACAGCTATGTGAACGAATGGGCAGGCCAGCCGCGGGCCATGGGCTGTGACAGCCGATCCCTGATCTGGAGTGTAAAAACAGGTGATAACCAGCAAAACCACAGGTTCAATCTGCAGTAAAATATTCTTGAAGAATTCAGTTTAATTACATTCAACAAGATGCCACTGAACAAAACCTGTAGAAGGGTAGTGTTGCTAGGATACTTAGACTTTATAGTCCTTGCTTGAAAATATTATATATAATTTTAAAGACTGCATGGCTTCCCAGGCAGCACTAGTGGTAAAGAACCTGCCTGCCAATGCAGGAGACACAAGAGACCTGGGTTCAATCCCTGGGTCGGGAAGATCCCCTGGAGCAGGGCATGGCAACCCACTCCAGTCTTCTTGCCTGGAGAATCCCATGGACGGAGAAGCCTGACAGGCTATGGTCCCTGGGGTCACAAAGAGTCGGACACGGCGGAAGGGACTTAGGAGCCACAGATGTGTCCAAAATACAGTCTTGCTGGCAACCACTGATCTGTTGGAGCAAACACACCCTAATCTTCGGAAACCAGGCTTCAGGGAGGGAGGCTCAGGCCGGCGTGGTTAGGGAAGGCTCTGTGACCGCACAGCCCTGGGTCCCTGCAGAACCAGTCCCTGGCAGGTGACCACTCGGGCTGAAAAGGAATGCTGAGCCCTGCGTGTTTCTGAAACCCCAGGCTGGCTGGGTTGGCCTGACCGCTGCTGAACAGCCCCAGTGGCGCTGAGGATGGGCTGCGGATGCCAAGAGGGGAGCCCCAGGGCTCCAGGCTCAAGGAACTCACTGGGAGTGGGGTGCAGGCTGGAGCAGGGCCTTCCAGGAAGGCCTGCGAAGTCCATCACTTTGAAACAAACAGGCAGAGGGGAAAGAAGGATTTGTTGCTCTTCCCACATGCCCTCATCCATCTTTACCTGGTGTGGTGCCTCGTTCTGGTTTGTTATCCAGCCACGGACGAAACCCTGGAAGTCTGAGACTCACGTGAAACGTGCGTTCCCTCTTCTCCTGCAGCTCCCCCGCACCGGCGACCCAGGAGGCCAGGAAGAACAGAAAGGCCAGCCTTGGAGGCTCAGGTGGAGAAGGAGGATGCTGCCCTGAGCCCATCCGGCTGTGCCTGGCCTGTCCTCGGCTATGGAGGCCACACTGATACTGGGGGAGGGGTCCCGAGTACGTAGACGTCACCCTGGAGGGCTTCCTGCACATGCTTCCTGCATCACGTGTCTCTCCCGCTGCGGCTTCCTGATCACACACAGATGGCCTCAACCCCCTCCTTCTCTGCTGCCTGGAGCCCAAGCCTCTGCACTGCCTGCCCCCCGCTCTGGACGCGAGGCCGCAGGAATGCTCGGCTCCCCTCTGCACTTCTACAACTGCCTGCAGAAGACACGCAATCAGAGCTCCCGTGTTGCAGAAGCGAATGAGGAGATAAGCAGCCATCAGATCACCAGATTAAATGTATCAGATGAAATATGACCTCAAGATTCGTGCTTCCGGCCACGAGGGATTAGCAGAGACCATGCGCACCCTACTGCATCAAGCAACCAAAAACGCCCACAAAATGCATCAAATCAGTTTTCAGATGCTGGGTGATGGATGGGGATTGTGTTCCCTGCCAGGAGGACGGTGAGGCGGGCAGTGGTCTGAGCTCTGCAAAGCCCCCTGGTTCTCACTGGGAGCCATTCCCGTGTGTGGAGCAGGAGCACAGTCCAGAGAACAGCCTCCTCCCGCTGCTGAGGAGTCAGGCCTGGATTCAGGGAGACGGGCGGATGAGAGAGGAGCCCCCACACAGAGAGACGGGCCCGCAGAGCCGTCCTGAGACCACGGGGTGCACGGCCTGGGGAGAGCCCCCAGAAGGGGCACGGGGCCGCCCACAGACCCCGCAGGCTGGAGACAGGCCTCCCGAGGGCAGGGCGGGGCTGCAACAGGCAGCTGGTGCCCCACCGTGTCAGACCTTCCGCCCAACACTCTCTCTCACAGATTTTTTCTTTCCCCTGTCCTTGTTGAACTGCACTTTGAAAGTGATTATTTTCCAGTGAGAACTATACTCTGCCCCACTGTCTACTTTTTCGGGAAAACACTCCCTCGTGGCCCTTTCCTTCGGGGCATCCTTCGTTCCAGAAAGAAGCTCAGAGAGCGATGACCTCTAGGGCCACTGCAGCCCCTGGACACAGCTGGGGCGGTTCTGAAACTTTCCTGAGGTGAAGGAGATTGCACACCGGCACCCTCGTCTGCAGCCCAATTTCCTGGGACTGTGAGATGCTTTCCTCCTTTCTCAAGGGAGGGCACCGGCTGGAGGGCCCAAGCCCCGGGGGCCCCCTTTGCCTGGCAAAGCAGTCAGAACTGCTCCTTTCTGCTTCACCCAAAACTCTGTCTCTGCATTTTTGTTTAGCACCAGTGAACAGAGGCTGGTGTCCGGCATTAGCAGCGATCACGACCTTCCAAGTCCTGGGGCCCTGGGAGCATCCTCAGAAGGGAACCGTCTTAGGAGTAACAGGGTTAAGATAAGCCGACCTAAATGCCTCTCCGGACCCACCAGGACAGAGTCTGAGAGAAAGTCACAGATGAGCCATCTGACTCCAATCATACTGCTACCTTCAGAATGAATGAATCCCCAAATTAAAGATATATGACAGAGTTCTACCTTCAGCATGTGAAATTCATAATGTCAGGTGCCCAACAAAATGTCTAGACCGCTGTAGGCTGAATGCTTGCAGCTCCCCACGGTTCACACGCTGAAGCTGAATCCCCAGGGTGACCGTGCGAGGAGATGAGAGCCCGCCCCCATCCCCAGGGGATCGGGGCCCTCGTAAGAAGAGACGCATATGAGAGCCCACTTCCTCTCTGCTCGCCATCCTGCGCGGACGCCCTGAGAAGATGCAAACCAGGAAGCAGGCTTTCATCAGACCTGGATCCACTGGGGCCCTGACCTTGGACTTCCCAACTGCTAGAACTGTGAGAAGTAAGACACTTGTTGTTGAAGCTAGTCGGTCTGCAGTAATTTGTTATCGCAACTCAAACTAAGGCGCAAACCTTCAAAATGACAGGAAAGTGACTCGTGATCTGCACAAAGAAACAGAAAAATGGCAGAGATGATGGAATTAGCAGAAAAAGATGCTCCGGCAGCTACTACAAATACACTATCTGTCTGTGTTAGTCACTCAGTCGTGTCTGACTCTTCGCGACCCCATGGTCTGATCCTGGGATAAATGCAATGGGCTTCCTAGGTGGCACTAATTCTAAAGAACCTGCCTCCCAAAGCAGGAGACATCAGAGACAGGAGTTCCATCCCTGGGTCAGGAAGATCCCCTGGAGGAGGGCATGGCAACCCGCTCCCGTGTTCTTGCCTGGAGAATCCTGTGGACAGAGGAGCCTGGTGGGCTACAGTCCATGGGGTCACAAAGAGTCGGACATGACTGAAGCCTCTTAGGACGCACGCACTATAAACAGACTGCACATGATCAGGAAGGCAGAGGAAAGCATAGACATGATGAGGAGTGCCATGACAGATATAAAAAGACTAAAGAAAGATCCTGAAGATGAAATGCACAATGTGTAGAACGCGATTACACAGACTAGTGACGTCCCTGCTGGTCCAGGCGTTACGACTCTGTGCTCCCACTGCAGAAGGCTCAGGTTCGATCCCTGGTCAGGGAACTAGACCTATAATGCCTCTTAGGTGCAGCAGGAAAAAAAAATACACCGATGGGGATTAACATCAGACTGAACTCTGTTAACACGCACAAAGCAATTGTGATTCTATATCCCAGCAACATTTAGAAATTGAAATTGAAAAACAAATTATCATAGCATCAGAAAGCATGAAATCAAATATTTATGGATACATTCCCCCCTTATCCATACCCTGAAAACTATAAAACAACGTGGAGAGAAATTAAATAATCTAAATTAATGGAGATATATATTAAAATCAAACAGTTCAATATTGTTAAAACGTGAGTTTACTCCAAATTGATCTACAGAGACAAAGAAACCCAAGTGAAAACAGTGGCAGGGGTGTTTGTAGAAATGGACAAGGTAAATTTAAAATGGTTAAGAAACTCAAGGGATTTAAAATAGCCTAGGCAACTTTGAAAGAGAGAACAAACCTGTAGGACTTACAATACCTGATCTCCAGACTTGCTACGAAGTTACAGTAGTCATGACAGTGGGGTGTGATAAGAGAATAGACCCATGAAGCAGCGGAACAGAAGAGAGACTGAGTTTTAACTAAAGGACCAAAGTAATCAGTAGGAACAACAGTCTGTCCAGTATATAGAACCAGCACGGCTGGATATTCTTGTATGAAAGTTGATCTGTACCCCTTATCTCATACCATAGGCAAAAAAATAAAAATAAAAATCAGCATAGGTTATAGATCTATATGTGAGAGCTAAAAGCACAAAACACCTAGAAGAAAACAGCAGAAAATTGTCATGCCCTTGGGAATGAAGGCGATCTCTTATATAGATTGCTCAAGGCATGGACTGTTAGAGAACTGATAAATTGTAACTCATCAGAATTTAAGACTTCTGCTCTTTGAAAGACTTCAGAAAATGAAAAAGACCACTGAATGGGGGGAAAAATGTAAATTTATATCTCATCACTGTAGCCAGCATCTTCAAACACTTACAACTCAGTGACAACTCAAGAAGAATCAGGCGAAAGATTTTAAGTCGATTCCCCGAAGAAAACACATGGATGGCAAAAAAGCATAAGAAAAGGCACACCATGTCCTTAATTACTAGGAAAATGCAAATTAAAACTGCAGTGAGAAGTCATTTCACACTCACCAGACCGGCTGAAATCAAAAGGGCAACTGTGGAAGAGACAGCCACGGGCGTCCCACCCAAGCGGCGGGGCGGTGATGCCGAGGCCTGCTCTGAGAAAACAGGGCCAGGCCTCTCTGGTCACACACACACACACACTCACCACTCAAACCGCGAGTGACCCCTGCGTTCACCCGAGAGAATGAAAATGAAAGGCGTGCAGTCACAGGTTTGTTCTTCACGGCCCGGCTGGAAGGAACCCCGGTGCCCATCGGCTGGCAAGCAGATATGTAAATGGCGCCCCAGACACACACTGGGCCCCAGTCCACGGGTGGCCAGGGGCTGCTGAGGCTTGTTCCGCACGCCCGGAGCGCCAGGGCATTTTTCTGAGTGAAGAACTTTAACGTGTATGCCCAGGTTCTGCATTGTTGCATTTATACGGAATTCTAGAAAAGGCCAAACGATGGCGGTGGAAGCCCAGTCAGTGACGGCCGTGGGTGGGGAACGGGGAGAAGGGGTAGGCCAGAATGGCCTGGGGGGCCTTTCTGAGGTGCTCGAGACGCGCCCCGTCAGGATGATGGCTGCTGGCAAAGCCCACCGAAGGCTGGCTTTCAGACTGGGGGCATTTACTGCTATCATCTATGGCTCAAGCGGCTAATAAAAACAGCTGCACATGGTTCCACATAAACGCACTGATGCTGGCGACAGGTCCCCACTGAGGACAGAGCGGGTTGTGGGAGGTCTGTGGGGAGGAAGGACTAGAGAGGACCCCAGAAGGAGGAAGAGGGACAGGTTGAGGTGGGTGGGGGCACAGGTGCTCGGGGAGAGGCTGAGGCGGAGCAGGAGTGGAGACCCCGTGCTTCAGGGGGCCATGCGGGGACCGGGGCCCAGGGGGAGGCCAGACCCGGGGCATCAACACGGGCCCTGGGTGGGGCGCCCCGGGTGGGGTGGGCTCAGTTCCTCGTCCCATGTGCAGATGAGGTGGGCAGCCCAGCTGAAATGCGGCCAGGGAGGCCCCAGCGCACTGGGCCCAGCCGGACCCCCACTTAGGGAAATTACTTTTTAACTGCACTGTGATAGATAACGATGCTGTCTATCTGTTATTATTAACAATGAATACAGTCAGTTCAATCAACGATTGTGAAATGTCTACTGACACTGAGCATGCAAAGATGCATAGAACGTAAGCTCCAGCTTCAAGAACCTATCAGGTGAGCAAATCGTTATGGAACGGCAGCACTAGCTGTAATAGTGGGGTGGGCAGGGCAAGAAGGGCTTTCCTCTTAGCGAAGAGAAGGCCTGGGTTGGGAGCGGCTTTGTCGTGGGTGTCGGTAGAGGGTCTGGGCCAGACCTTCAGGCCACTCTCGGGGACACTCCCAGAAGAGACCTTAGAAGCTGGGCCAGAATTATGTCTATTCCTGAGTGAGTGAGTGAAGTGCATGCTCAGCTGCTCAGTCGGGTCCAACTCTTTGTGACCCCACAGACTGCAGCCCACCAGGCTCCTCCGTCCATGGGATTCTCCAGGCAAGAGTACTGGAGTGGGTTGCTATGCCCTCCTCCAAGGGATCTTCCTGACCCAGGGATGGAACCTGCATCTCCTGCATTGGCAGAGGGGGTTCGTGACCCCTGCACCTTCTGGGAAACCTTGAGACATTATTTTAATTTCCTTTGATTGACTCTTTTTTTTCTAATTAAAATGGCAAAATACACCAGAATAACCCACATCTGTAAATTCCATATTTTTCAGGGATAGTGTTGTACACCTGTTGGGAATAAGCGTTATTCAATTGTGGATGATGGCGGATGCATCGCTCTTGTGGTGAAGCTCAGTGTTCTTGAAAACACAGCTTTCGAGTCCTCGTGTGTACCGGGCACACGCAGTACCTGGAAATGACCCGGCCTGCCCCAGACCACCATCCTCATCACAGAAATCATGTCAACTCTGCGAAGGAATCGTGTTAGTGACAGATTGGCCCAGTGTCACCACACGGGCAAAAAGCCTTCCTTTCCCCTCAGGCAAATGACCTCAGATCTTGAACAGCAACAGTAAGCTTTTTGGAGAAGGATTCTGTTCTTTCTAACAGAAGCACTTTCTGTTGTTCTTATGAAAATTGGTAAAAACATTAAGACTTTTAAAAGGAGACATTTTTGTACCTTCTTTAATGAACAGAGAATAAAACAGACATGAGGAAATTTGTCATGACCGCAATAGGAAAGTGAAATAATGCTCAATACGTGTTAAAAGTAACTGATGTTCAATTCTTAGGCCAAGTCGTTGGAAGGTTTGAAAAGAGGTGCGCTATAGTGTCGTCAAGTCTTCAGCGGTCAGACTTACAGAGGAATTTAGAGTTGCACCGTGGGAAACATGGCCAGCCGGAAGCAAGGGAAGGCAAGCAGCCGTGATGGTGAAGAGACCCCATGCGTCAGAGCGGGGTGCTATTCTGCAAAGATGGGGGCCAGGGAGGGGTCCTATCACTGACCACCTGCAGGGTGGCCTTTAGCGAGGGCCTAGGTTTACACCTCCCTGCAAAGGATAAGAAGGCAGCCAATGAGTAGAGCTGGTTTCAGAACTGACCAAACGTCAGGAAGATTATTTGAATGGTTTGGCAAGCTTGGCATGAGCTGCCTTGGGGGCCAGAAAAGCCCAGGTCAGGTGCAGTGGTCACTGCTTACGGAGCAGGAGGCGGGTGTGAGCTGGGTCAGACCTGCGGAATCGGAGTCTCTGCTGGAGTGCCCTTTGGAGAGGAAAGGGTTAGAGCGGGTGCCCCTCTCCTCTCCAGCTGGGGGCCGTGGGGGCAGGATGGGCTGGAACCTCGGGAGGTGCCTTTGCAAGCGGAGGGTCTGAGTGAGGAGCTCTGAGGCAGACATCCCCGTGTGCCCTGAGTGCTTCACCACCAGCAAGCCCGGAGCTGGGGCTGCTCCAGGCCCACGAGCGTGTGGGGCGGGGGAAAGCAGCTTCCAGCTGGGCGGTGAGCAGGTGAAGACACGGGTGCCCAGAGGACGGTGTTTTCACGTGTCGTGCTCACGGCAGGAGCCCGCGAACGCCTGTCTTTTGAGGGATCAATGCAGTTGGGCATTAGATGAGCTCCAGAGCCTGCTCAGGGCGGCTGCGACCGCTCACCCCCCTTCACAGCGCCCCCGGGGACCCTAACGCACGTTTGTGTGAGCGTCGTGGCTTCACTGGGGAGTTCAGCCTCTAACAGCTGTGTCACTGGAGTTTAGATCAGCTAGTAAATCAGTGAGCTTAGATCAGTGAGTCCCTGGGAGATGTTCTGGCTGCAAAGAAAGCGGGGACGAGGACGGGCCCAGGAGAGATGCTTCGGGGTCAGTTTTGGGAGCTGCCTCCATCTGCCTCCTCCTTTCTGGAACGTCCCCTCCAGTGCCAGCTGGTGTCCATGCAGGCTGCGGTCAGGAGTAGACGCGCCCTCAGTAAGTGCAGGAAGGGGAAGGCGAACCCCTGCACCAGCCCCGGCGGAGTCACCTCTCATCGCGGACACACAGAACCCATGTTTCTAAAAGTCAGGCCATCGAATGGCTTCTCTTACTTTGGCAGAGGCACGCGGTGACGAGCCGAACCTTTGCATGACTTCTGCACTGAAGCTTTGAGGCCATAAATGAAAGCAGACGTGCCAGAACCCCAGACTGAAGGAGCCTTGGGGAGCAGGGCTCTGCCCTCAGTTGTCACACCACAAAGACTCGAGAAATCCTTAGTGCTACCAAACGAGACCAACATCTTTAACACGGTGTTCACAATGCTACTTTACATTTTATCACAGTTCAGCGACGTGGCTGCCTTGGACCACTGGCATTAGGTACCGTGTACTAAAGAAGGTACCTCGGAAACTAACAGCTAATTGACTGCCTCGCTCAAGAATGCAAAGAACACCTCACTATACACGCGTGTCCTCAGATCAGAACGGCTGTGCAGAGGGCCGTGGTCCGTCCCCCTGCCCAGCTGCACTCAAGCCCACCAGAGGTCGCCCCCGCCACCCCCGGCCTCCAGTGCACAGAGGCCTCTTCCCGGGACTCTGAGGGCTTCGGAAGCCTCCTGGTCACAGGCAGAGGGCAAGGATGGGGAACGGCTCAGGTCCTCAGCAGGCAGCGTCTGCGCTGGGACCCGGTGACCAGGATGGGCTCGCAGGGAGGCGGATTACTGGTCTGCTCTCCGCTGTGCCAGATGCGGGCGGGGGCAAAGGGAAGCAGGATACTGCAGAGGGGAGGGGAGGGGAGGGGAGGGGAGGGGAGGGGGAAAGAGGGGAGGGGGGAGGGGAGGGGAGGGGAGGGGAGGGGAGGGGAGGGGAGGGGGGAGGGGAGGGGAGGGGAGGGGAGGGGAGGCGGCTGGAAAAGCAGAAGGGGTGGGCAGCAGGCCGCCCTCAGCCTTTGGCCCCTCTGGCCAAGGGCAGACTCTACCCATGAAAATTAAATATGCAGAAACATTAACAACATTTATCAAAGTATTATCAGCAAGGAAAACTTAAAGTTTTGATTTAAACAAATTAAACAAGTTTAACGGTTTGCTAAAATTAAAGCAGAAGGTTTCAAACTATGCTTATTTTCATAAATAGTGATGGCCCCCAAGACAAAGAATGAGAACAAAAGGAATGTGTGTGTGTACATGTGTGTACATGGTGAGTATACACATGCACATGCATACATGTGGGTATGTAAATGTGCATGCATGTATGAATGTTACATTGTGTATAGGCATGTTTGTGTTGTGTGTTACATGTATGTGTGTGTGCTGTGTACACACACAGGCGTGTGTGTGTGTAGGCCTGTGTATATGTATGTGTGTGTTTGTTGAGTGTTGGAGGGTGGGTGTGCACGCTGTAAGTTCTAATTGCACAGTGGGCTTTGGGATCATTACTTTATGTCTATTACCTTGCTAAGTCTCTCAACATCCCTTTCAGATGACTTACAACCACTTTACAGGCTTTCCTCGTGGCTCAGTGGTAAAGAATCCGCCTGCCAATGTGGGAGCCACAGGTTCACTCTCTGGACAGGGAAGATGCCCTGGAGAAGGGAATGGTAACCCACTCCAGTATGCTTGCCTGGAGAATTCCATGGACAGAGGAGCCTGGAAGGCTACAGTCCATGGGGTCACAAAGAGTCAGATGTGACTCAAAGACTAAACAACGGCATACCCACTTTACAAATGGGAAGACTGCAGTTTGTTCTAATTCACCTTGTCTCCAGCAGGTCTTACTGAAGGACTATACAATTCCCACAAGATCTTAAATAATATCTTTATTTTAATACATATGGGATCAGA